CTGGGCCCGTGGCCCTGCGGGAGGCCCCGGACACCCGCTAAGGTGTTAGTTAATCAGGGTGCCATGCACCGCTTGCCTGTGTTACACGCATTCGCTCCTTCAAACTGCCGCGGGCCTTCCACGGCCACTCCTCCCTATTTGCAGATAAGAAAACTGAGGCACGGCCCTCTCTCCAGATGGTCTCCCACGTGGCAGAGCCCACCGCGGCCTCTACCTCGCACACTCTGCTCTGGGGAGGCACACCGCCGCAGAGCTGTCGCTGGAACTTCCCGGGTATATCCGCCCCCTGGGAGGCAAGGTGGCCCTGGAGAGAGGGCAGCCGGGTTGGTTTGCTACCACCTGTGGGGGAGGCTGCACCGCCTCGGTACCCCGTTAGCGGGCTTCTGCAGAAGGCGCACCAGCCTCCCGCACCCTCTCCCGTCACCAGGTCAGAGGCCTGGGGCGAGCCTGTAGCCGGTAACCTGGAGCCTGGAGCCTGGAGCCTGGAGCCTGCCGGGCGCTGAAGTCCCGAGGCCACTGGAAGAGCATGTGCGCGTTGGGGACGGCAAGGGGGTTGAGGCACCGACCCGTGCGTGTCCCTGGACCCGAGCTGGGCCAGCCCCTGAGGTCCCACTGAGGCTGGCTCCGCTACACGGACCCGCTCCCCTCCCTGAATTATTCATCATCATCATCATTGTGTAATTACTGTAACAGGCCTTAATTATTGATGCCCGGAGCAGTAATCGTTATTTATTATTAATGGGCGACGCGTTCTGAGGCTTGTTTATGGAGAGCACTGTTCTGGGTCTGCTGAGTGTTCTGTGTGACGGTGAGTTATGTGGTGTATGTGTCTGTGTGCCTGTGGGTGTGAGCATTCTGTGTGACGGTGAGTTATGCGGTGTGTGTGTCTGTGTGCCTGTGGGGCTGAGTGTGGGAGTGACGGTGAGTTATGTGGTGTGTGTCTGTGTGCCTGTGGGGCTGACTTTTGTGTGTGACGGTGAGTTATGTGGTGTGTGTGTGTCTGTGTGCCTTGGGTGTGTGTGTTCTGTGTGACAGTGAGTTATGTGTGTGTTTGTGTGATTATGGGTTGAGTGTGTGTATGTGCGTGTGTGTTTATATATGTGTATCTTTGTCTCTGAATGTGTTAAGGAGAGAGATTAGAAAACACCAGTTTCCCAGTCCCCGGAGGAGCTGCGGCGAGCCCTTCCCTGCTCATTTCAGTACAAGAGAGACTGAGGAGGCCAGAGGCTGGGCCGAACCCAGAGCCCTCCCCGACCCCACCCCCCAGCAGCTGCTGTGTTGGGCTACTTCTCCTGCCCCCCTACCTCCCCACCATCTCCACCCCACCCCACTCCCAGGGGTCTGCCTACTTGTCCTCCCCGAAAAATATTCTGGACACAGGCCACCACCCCACTCTGGCCTGATGCTCCCACTGGGAAGACTCAGTGGCCCTAAGACTGGAGCTCAGCTGGTCCAGGTGGGGAGGTGGGACCTGGCTGGGATGGGGCAGGCCCTGGACCTCCTGAGGCCCATGGTCTGTCTGTCCACCCGCCCTGGAGCGGATGCCTGGGCGCTGGCGGCCGAGTTCATGCCTTTCTCTGTGACTCGTGTGGACTCTGGGCAAGGCCTTCTCTGCCGGAGTCCCAGGTTCCCACGTTTACAGAATGCGGAAAGTCCAGGCCCTCCTTAGCGGTCAGGCCTCCGACATGCTCCCTGGAGGGGCGGATAGGAAAGGCGAGGGAGCCCCTTGTGTCCTCCTCCCCCTCCCCGGCACCCCACCCCCACAGCCAGCCTCACCTGCGGTTCTGGTACCAAGTCTTGACCTGCGTGTCGGTGAGGTTGAGCGAGGCGGCGAGCTCCATGCGGTCCTGCACGCTCAGGTATTTCTGCCGCTCGAAGCTGCGCTCCAGCTGCGCCAGCTGATGGTCGGTGAAGGCCGTGCGCGCCTTGCGCGGCTTTTTCAGGCGCACCGGGGGGCTGTCCCGCGAGCTGGAGATCTCCCGGTCGCCCTCCTCCTTCACTGCGGAGACAGGGGAGCGTCAGGGCCCAGCCTTGCCCTCCCGCCCTGCTCCTCCCGGTCGGGTACCCGGCTCCGGGGCAGCAGTGGCCCCGGCTGCGGCAAAGCCACTGGGAACCGGGACCACGGCCCGGATGGAGGACTGACCCGAAGCCGAGAGAACGCAGCCCACTTTCCCTTCGCTCCCCAAGGGATAAACCCGGCGACTGGCTGGACGCCGGGGGAGGGGACCCAGGGGCACGCGCCCACCCGTGGGCTGCGCGAGTCCGTGCTCAGGGGTGCGGGTCTGGGCTCCGCAACTGCGCCCGGGTCCTCTGGCTGCAAATGGGCCAGAAAGGGAGGGAGCTGAGGGCTGGAGTCTGGGGAGAAAAACCCGCTTGGAGGGACAAAAAGCTGTGCACCCCGGAGCGAATCGTGGTCCTGAAGGTAAATTGTACCCACATCTCGCCTGGCCCCTCTGTGGATGGAATCTGTAATGCTGGTCCCGCCGGTTCTGAAACTGCAACAGCGCCCAGTGCCTGAGGCTGAGCTGCAGGGCGCGTCGCAGCACGATCTCCGAGCCAAGGCGCTTGGAAAAGCAAGCGGCGGGTTTGTGCCGTGGTCTGTTCCCTTGTCAACGCTACGCCCACTGTGGCTCCCACCCAGCTCCGCATTGCCCGGTGTTTCCGCCCCTCGGAGGGGGCACCCCAGCGGAGTCACCACGCCTGAGGCCCCAGGACCGGACCGACAAGATGGTTTATTTTTCCCAAACAACACTTTCGACTTCCGATGGGGGTTGACTGCACTGAAGCACACCCTGCCTCAAACAAACTCCTTGGTCTCCCTCCTTCTCCCCCTAAAGCGAGGGTTTAACCCAGCGGTTGGTAAACTGCGGCTCGAGAGCCACATGCGGCTCTTTGGCCCATTGAGTGCGGCTCTACCTAAGCCTTAGGAGGACCCTAATTAAGTTAATAACAATGTACCTACCAATATAGTTTAAGTTTAAAAAATTTGGCTCTCAGAAGAAATTCCAATCGTTGTACTGCTGATATGTGGCTCTGTTGACGAATGAGTTTGCCGACCACTGGTCTAACCAAAGAGACCACGTCCCCCAAATTGGGACCCGGCTGGGGCTCCCCCAACTCTCATTCTCTCTGCGCTTTCCTTTATGGTGAATCTCATTGTGCCTGGCGTTAGCAGTGACAGGGTTCAGCTGAATGCGAGCTGATGCCTCTCCGTAGGAAACAATAATCCGGTTAATTGAGCCACTGGGGAGGGAGACGTTTCAACCGGAAAGGCCTTGCTTTGCAGCCGGCAGGGCGCGGGCCCTGTGCACCGAGGCGGCTGGCAGGGAGAGGGCCTCTGGGGAGAAAACGCCTCCTCCCGGCCCAACCGGCCGTCCCTGCCCTCCCCGCTCGGCCGCCTCCTCCGGGTGTTGGGCTGGAGTTGGGAGCTGATTTCGGTCCATGCTCGCAGGTAAAGTTTAATAAAGTGCAAGGAAACAATGATCCGAACCTCCACCTTGATCCCGTGGAAACCTTGCCTTTTGACCTAATTGCCCGCCTGACTATTTGTGAAAAACTCCACTTCTGGGGGCGGAGGGCTGAGCTGGGGGCGGAGGGCTGCGCTGCGTCGTCGGGAAGATCTGCTTTTCTCTAATCCCTCCCGGCACAGGCAGGCGGGAGCCTTTGGAGGCAGCCTCGGTGCCGCCCCAGAACCAGCTCGCCCCTGGGGCCTCTGATCCCAGCCTGGAGGCCACACCTCAACGCCCCCGAGTTTGAGACACCCTCCCCGCCCCCCCGGGGGGGTTGGAGCAGAGTGCCCGCTCGCCTCTCGGCTTCTTGGCAGACAGACGGACAGACGGACAGACGTTGGCTCCAGCAGCTAGGGTCACGGCAGACCTTCCATGAAAGCCTGGCTGTAGCTCCTTTCAAACAACACTTTCGACTTTCGTTATCTTAGGAGCTTTTGAAGCAGCAACTCGGGCGCACTGACCGCCCCTCCAGGCCTCCGTGGAGAAAATGACGCCGCACCGGGAGGTGGGTCGGAGGGGCTCCTGTGTCTGTCTTCCCGCCAGCCTTCCTCACTCGGCCTGAAAAAGTAGCCTCCGCCACTCGCGGGCTCCGCTCCGCGGCGGGTGTCCCCACGCCCTTTGACCCCGGGCTTTGTAGGCGCAAAGGCTCACCGCCTCGGGGTGGGTGGGAAACCTTCCACCCTCCTCCTCTCCGGCCTATTTGAGTGATGCATGGACAGCCCGCCCTCTCCGCTCCCCGCTCCCCGCTGGGATTTCTCCGACAGAAGGGGGACATTGATATTCCCATGATCTTAAACAAAACCTCTCCTTGAAATCCCAAATTAAAGGAGACAAGAGCCAGGTTCTCCCAGCCCGGCACCACCGTTGGCAGCAGGCGACGTTGGTGATTCTTGCCCCTCACTCTAACCACAAAGCTGGGTGCTGTTGAGAATTACGAGCCACAAAACATGGTTATAAGTAGATGTTTCTGTCGCTTCTCTGCCTTCCCCTGCACCTGTCTTTCTCCGGGCGGGTTTCCTTTGCCTCGGGAAACAGCCCCTGGGGTGAAGCAGGGGTTTCTGGGCCCCGTGCCTCCGGACTCCCTGTGGGTACGCTCTGCCTGCCCGTTTCCTCGTTTCCTCAGCACGGCTGGGCTGCAGGCGGCTGGGCGGTGCGTGGGGAAGCCGAGGACAGCGCGTTGGGGCGTGGGGCCCCACACGGGTGTGGGTTTGAGGTCAGGGCATGTCCACAAACGAATTCTTGGCTGGAAGGAGAGTGTTGCGAGCCGTTCCTCATTTTTGTGAAGGCTGCGTACAAATAGGGGCTGGGAGGTGCAGGGCCCGTGATGACAGAGCAGATGCCCGCGTAGGGAAGTTCTATCTGATGAAAAGCGAAAAGCGTTCAGGATGAATTCTCAGCTGACAGGGCTCAGAAGGGCCTCGGCCAGCCCCGGGTTTCTGCTGTGTGGGACACGGGCTCTGCCCTGACACTCCTTCCCCGCCTGCCTCCCTGCTTCTTGCGGGGAAAGAACTCGGCACCACTGGCCTCTCAAAGAGCTGAGTCCAGGCAGTGGCCCCAGCGGCGAGAATAAAATTGGGGCACTCCTTTTATGCTTCCCTTTCTTCTTCCTTCTTTTTTCCCTCCATCCCCCACCCCCCTCTTAATCTTGATCTCGGTTCCCTGGTTAAGAAGGGATGAAAGGGAACAAGGAAAGGTTCACTGAGGTGAGAGGCAGGTGAGGGCCGGTGACCCTCAGGGAAGGGGACGGGGAGCTGGTCACTCGGGAAGCCCTGTGTCCCACACAACCGGAAATTACTCAATTCTCTTAAAAATCAAATTCAGCGAGAACCGCTGGGTGGGTGCAGCAGGGTTCCCCCCTGGACCGGACCTCCGAGCCTGCTCCCAGCCAGCCTTGCAGCCCCGCCTGCCTGCTGCTGCTGCTGCTTTGAAGTGAGCATTCCTTTTGCATAATTTGTGGGGCCCAGAGTACGCTGGGCCCAAGGGGAGGCAAAGCCCGGTTTCTCTCCCCCTCGGAAATCCAGATGAAAGGGTGGAGAATTCTGACTGTTCTCGGCTTCCGCTAGGTTTTCACTCCTATAAGGAGGGCGTTCCAGCTGAGCCCTAGGGGTCTGGTTGTTTTGCGGTCTTTTCTCAGCCTCTGGCCAGATGGGCAGCTGCTCCTGCCCCCCAGCCCCCTGGAAGGGCAGACCCAGCGGGAGTTGGGAAAGTTTGCTCTGTGCATTTTGGGGGGTCTCTCCTGGGGCGCACAGTATCCCTCTCCCCGCTGTCTCCACCCGACTCTTTGTTGCTCAAAGGCATAGCCACGGGCAGGTGGGAAGGTTCGGGCCCTGGGGGAGCTCCGGGCCGGCTTCTGGTGTCCCCTCCTGTGTGCACGCAAGTTTCACTGCTGGCTTTTAGAAGCACAGCACCCCCCACGCGTCCACCTCCCACTTTCTTACCTTTATACTCGGAGTCTGACGAGGCGTTGCTGCCACTTTTGTCCAGCTTGTCTCTAAAGTCCTCGCCGGCCTTGGGTGCGAGGTGGCCCCCGGGCTCAGGGGCGGCGGGCGGCCCGCTACTAGAATAGGGCGCACAGGCGGCCAGTGGTTTGCAGTCGGCAAGGATGTCCCTGATCAAAAAGGAGGAGGTCACTGTACGCGACTGGGCTGGGGCCGAGAGCTGTCCGGCCTGCAGGTGGGAGTCCAAACCTGGGCCCGGTGCCCTGCCAGGCCGCGGGGCGCCCGTCTCCAGACAGTCCCTTGCTGGTGAGGCTGGTGAGGAGCAGTCACTGCTGCTCTCCGAGCGAGGACTCAGTTCCAGGGGTGAGCGGCAGTCCCCAAGCAGGGGGTCCCCCTTGGGAAGGGCGGGGCTGCCCGCCCGGTGGGAGAGGATGGAGTCGATCCCAAAGCCATTGGAGCCTTCCATAGCCAAGCTTCGGCCTGTCCTCTCCGGAAGCTCCCCACCCACCCCCGGCCCCAGCCGACCGCTGTCCTTGCCCCTAGCTGTGGGCTGGCATGGGGAAGGCGGGCAGGGAGCCTGCGGGCACCTTGGATGGAGCTCAGCCTTGGGGGAGCCCAGGAGCGCTGGGCCAGCCTCCTCTGCGCATTAGATCCAAAAGGGCTCAGCGCGTCTTCTGCAGCATCGCGCCTAGTCGCGGAACCGAGGGGGGGTGGTGGGAGTGTCAGGGAGGGACGGGAGGGAGGGTGCGCCAAGTTGGGGAGAGCAAAGGGGGAGACGGACGGCCTGAGCGCTCCTCTGGCACAGAAGAGAGGCGAGGATGTCGGAACCTAAATAAAGGACGGCGTTTAAAAATCCAA